GCTTTGTCTAGTCCCCAGGATTGGTGAGAATAAGCACCAGTTTCAGTTAAGCTTTCCTCTCCCTTTAAAAACCATGTCCTGTGTATTTGATCCCATCTCATGGCAACCCCATGGAGTGTCGGAATAGAACTGTGCTCTGTAAGGTTTTCAATGGCTGGGGTTTTGGAAGTAGACCCACAGCTTTGGTTCTCCTGAGGAACCCTTGGATGGTCTCAAGCTTCCAGAATTTCAGTTAGCAGCTGTGCTTATTAACGGGAGTGGGATTTCCCTCTGTTTACATGCAAGACAAGTTGATGTGCCTGAGATTAAAGATACAAGTGGATGTGGCTCCTCATTGCCTTTCCTGTTCTTCAAGAAAATGCACTTGAAGTTCACTGTCAAGCAGGTGGCCAGGGGTAAGAAATCCCATTGATGGGCTCCCTGCATTTTATGAAGAGGGAAAGACTCTCCCCTGCCTACTTGTCTGCTGTGCTGGAAAACCCTTGCTGTTTTGCAGGTGCACAAACTTCTTGCTCATGTATTTTATTTCTCATGGTGCCTTCGGCCTTTTTAGGGCTTTAACTCCATGGGCCTGACCATCCTACCACCCTGGGGACTCTGAAACTTCTCTGGAGGCAAATGCATGCAGGTTGAGTTTATTCCCCAAAGAAAGAATTTGTTGTTGTTTCCCCTCAAATCTATCTTACCAAACTTGCAAACTGGAAAACCACATTAAGTTTCTCTTCCTTTCATTCAAAGCATCCCTACTACCCACCTCTCCCAAACACCTTGTCAGTATAAACGTACTTTTGGTGTCAAACACTTATTGTTCAAAATAGCTATCCTGGACGTTAATTTTTTACTTTGCCACATGAATTGGCAAGATACACGAATTCGGTGGGCTAGACTCTCCATGAAGGGATTACCTAGTGTCATCATTACATTAAGTAGATTTAGAGGCAGGATTTGGGACTCTCACTGCCAGCGCTGAAGAAGCAGAGAATGCAGCAAGCGTCCTTCAGCGTCAAAGATTCCTGTGCCACTTGGACCAGGGCCTTCAGGAGAATGGTTAGAGCAGAAAATCACAGACCTAGTGTAAGACAGAACTGACCTCGGGACTGCTGTCCCATGACGCCAGAGCCAGAGGCCTTCGTCCAAGCTTGCTGGAAGATTGGAAATAAGTGGTAGTGGGGAGATACCATCATTGGCAGGAGTAGGAGACCTTTGTAACACTGGCCTAAAAATGCAAGGTTGAGGGTTTAAGGACCTGCGACCACGCTTTAGAAGCTGTCTGGACTGGGGATTGTATACTGCTGCCATCATGAACTAGAAACCAATTGTTGTTTTTGCTTTGTCTGTCGGATCATGACAGACCCATAGCTGACCCTTCAGTGGGTTTTCAGAGTTGATCACACAGGAGGAGATTGCCTATCTTTCTCCTGCAGAACAGCTGGTAGATTTGAATCAAATGCCTTTGGGTTGGCAAAGCAACCCCATAATCCGGAGTATGGTTCTGTAAAGTCTTTGTAATTATTGTAATGGATTTCAGACCCAGTAAAACTGTAAGATGGTGCTGAAATTAGTAGAAATAGGTGTGGGAGCATGGGGGACATGTCTGACCTCGTGGAAATTGGTTTTGTGTTTTGGATGCTGTTGATGGGGACAGGGGTCCCTCGTAGAGTTAATAGGGGTCAGATATGGCCGTCCTCACACGGCCCTTGCTCTTTTAACAATATCCAAGCCCTAGATCAACTCTCAGACCTTGACCCGCATTGATCACTCTCTTCTCAGATCCCAAAACACTAAGTCCTGCTTTTGGGGTCTGAACCTTTCTTTTGGTGCTTACTGCCTGTGGCTTTGGGCTTTGGTTTTACCAGATTAAAATATTATCTTGTCTTTTATGAGCATATGCACAGCAGAACAATAACAATTCAACTTTCAATTCTTGATACATGTGTTCCTTCCAAACCAGGTATGGAGTTTTCCCTGAGTATTTTTTTTTTTTTTTGTATTATGTTTTAGTGGTTGCTGTACACACAATCCCATTCTGATCTTCCTGCTTCCACTGCTTCCCATTTTGGTTTAGAAAGACACCTGCTCTCCTTGACCAGCAATATCTTGCCTTTCTTGAGTGAATGTTTCAGTATAGTTAAAAAAATGTTGCCAAATCACGGTGTGGGAAAGTAAAACGCCTTTTAAGAGCCTCTGCGCTAGGTGGAAAGCACAGAGTTCCCTTTGCAGTGCCCCCCAGCCAGCAGCCATCCTTCCTTCCTTAGGCCACGCTTCTATGCTAATGGCCACATGGGTTGAACACAGGTTTTAGATTCACCCACCAGGTTGACCAGGTTTCACCTCCCAAACAGAAAGCATTAATAATAAGGCTGACTCTCAAATTTCAGTGTTCAAAAGTAATAACTCCCAAATGTCCGTATACAGACAACTGAGATAAAGGAACATTTTCACTGAAGGCAGAGTGAATCTAACGGCGAGGATAGTTAAGGAATCTATGTGCATGAGATTTTCACTGTTTTTTTTACTATCTTATACTTCCTAGTGAAAATGGCACATTTGAATATTATTGAAACATCCTTTCTCCTATGATAAGACAATGGTGATAATATGGTGATAATAGATGGTTATTATTTTTTTTAAAAAATGGTCTTACTTCATATGATGAAATTCTATCCCTTTAATCTATAAATCCCCAAATGTTGAGTAACTCTTTTATATTGAAAATTTGCTAGCTGTTATTCCAGATATCTTTTTTCAAATTGACAGACTGGCAACATCTTAAGGAAATCTAAGACTTGCTGTTGTGTGTACCATTGAGTTGGAACTGAGCCATCACTGACCCTCTAGTGGGTTTTCAGAGGCAGTTGATCGCAAAGGAGATATACCATCATTCTCCCATGTTTCAGCTAGTGGATTTGAAGTCTTCAGGATTGCAGCACAGGTCCATGAAACTAACCCAGTGCTGGTGTGTAATGTCTGACTAGATTGGATGTTACAAGATTGTGGAGACCGTGCGTACTATCGAGTTAATTCAGACTCCTCATGTGTATAACGATTCCACAGAGTCTTCAATAGCTGTGAATATTTTTGGGAGTAGAGTACCAGACAATTCTTCTGATGTTCCCCTGGGTGGCTTTGAACAGCCAAACTTTTGGTTAGAAGATGAGCACTTAACTATTTGAATTACCCAAGGACTCTTAACCCATCGGTTTTGAGTTGGTTGTGGATTGCGGAGACTCCCATGGTGTCAGAGCATAACTGTGCTCTAAAGGTTTTTATGGACGATTTTCAGAGGCAAATTGTCGGGCTTTTCTTCTGAAGTGCCTCTGCGTGGACTCAGACTGCCAACCTTTCAGTTAGTATCCAATATTGAGCTATTTGCACCTCCTGGTGACTCCTTACATGTTCTTACAGAGTGTTAACACATGAATATCTCATGTTTTACAGATCTTAATGTGTTTGGTCACCTTCAGTTACATTTCATCCAAGTCATTACTAGTGAAATGTATTGTTTTTCTTAGGTGCTATCGAGCCAAGTATGACCCATGTTGTTAAGTGCCGTCGAGTCACTTGCAACTCATAGTGACCCTATGTACAACATCTTTGTACCCTGCTCTATCGTGAGCCAACCTCATTATCTCTGACACACCTACTCCCCATTATTGTAGTCACTGGGTCAATCCATCTCATCCAGGATCTTCCTCTCTTGTACTGTCCCTCCATCCTTCCAAGCATGAGGTCTCTCCCCAAGGACTGGGCCCTCCTTGCAGTATGCCCAGACTAAGTTGGAGCTTCAGAATCCTTGCCTCCAAGGAACAGCCTGGTTTCAATCTCTCTAGGACAAACTTGTTTGTTCTCCTAACAGTCCATAGTATATTCAGAACTCTTCTCCAGCACCACAGCTTAAAAGCATCAGTTCTCCTTCCCTAGTCATTATTCAGCTTTCTGACGCATAGCAAGTGATTGCAAAGATCATGACCTGGATCAGGCGCACCTTAGTCTCTATAGAGACCCTATAAACAACATATCTTGACCCTGTCCTAATCTATGTCATCCTCACACTTCTTGACACACTAGAGCTCATTGCAGCAGTCACTGTGTTAATCCACTTAGTCGAGGGCCTTTCTCTCCTTTGCTGACCTGCTACCCTTCCCAGCATCATGTCCCTCTCAAAGGAATAAACCCCTCCTAACAACATACTCAAAGCTTCGTCATTCTTGCCTCCAAAGAGCACTCTTACTTCATACACTTCTCCAAGACATATTTGTTTGTTCTTTTTGCCATCCATGAGATGTTCAGTACTCAATGAAATATGGAACTATTGTAATTGAAATCTTAATTTATATATTGACACTAAGTATAAGAGTAAATGATTTAATTTGTGCTAAATTTTGAAGTACCAAAAAGAAATATAATTATTATGTTTCTTTCTACTTCAAATTCACAGAACTACTTAACCTTTAAAATATTACAGAAGTATATTGATATTCTTTCACTAAAAGGGAAAAAATGTACAATACTCAGTGAAAATAACTTCTCAGTGTGTCCTGTCACTGGTTAGTTGTGGTTTCATTGTCATTCCACATGATATTTATAAATGCTTGTTTTATCACTTAATATATGAGATGGCTTATTTGAAAGGCTTGGAAATTTTGTCATTTATCTCCAGCATGGAGATATTTTTTCCGAAGGGAACAGCAGATGGCAGTGTAAAATTAGAGAAAATTTCTTGACATTAAACAGTTAGCAGGTTGCGGAATTGGAATTTGGCAAAAGCTTGATTCCAGAACCCCTTTTATCTATGTGATCTTAACCACCTTGAAATCTTATCAAAATAATGGGGGAAGCAATGCTATCCAATACAAAACACCTGAAATAGTGCTCTACACAGAAACACTCGGTGGATATTTACTATTTTTGTTGTTTTATGATGAAAAGCATCATTTAAAATGTATTGTGGTGGGCGAGGGGATACTGTTAAATAAGCAAAGATTTCATTTTTATTTTAGGTCCTGTCTGCAGCTTCTGTGTCTCATCTTTTGGAGCAAGGCCTGTCACCATCTTCAGTGGTTTCCTGGTGGCTGGAGGTCTGATGTTGAGCAGCTTTGCCCCTAATATCTACTTCCTGTTTTTTTCCTATGGAATTATTGTAGGTAGGTAAGGCGTCTGGCCACTTACGACTATTTTAATCATTAAGAGTTAAATACCATGTCACAGGTGTCTGTTTTTTCATGCAGTTAATATAATGAGTGGCAATTATCATAGTTTGTTTTCGGTGTCCACTTTATGAAAATGGCTTCTGCTGACTGAATAAGAATGTCTGAATATATAAACATATTTTAACATTCCAGATTATGCTTTCTTGCAGGACACCGGAAGGTCTTTTATTTCCGTGTTTTGCTCTAAAGCAAGTGAGGAAAAGGGGAAAGAGAACACAAAACTCAGAATGTCAGAACGCTCTTCTGATTTAGGAAGAAGTCCCTTTTTTATGGCGGGCTAAGCTCTGTTTAAGGGGTCACTGGTGTTGCTGTCTGTGAGGAGTTGCACTCCTAATTAAAGGCCACGCTGTTCTGGTGGTTGAAATCCACCAGCAGCTCTGCAGGAGAAAGGTGGGCAGGCTTTCCAGTGCAAATTGCAGCCTCAGAAAACCCATTGAATGGTCAGCCAGGAATGAGATCCAAGTTGACGACAATGAGTTTTTGAGATGCTGTATTGAAGAAGCCCTAGTGAAGTAGTGTTTAAGCATTCAGCTGCTAACCTAAAGTTTAGAGGTTCTAATACACTAGCTGCTTCTTGAGAGATAGCTGAGATTTGCTTCTCTAAAGGTCACAACCTTGGAAACCCCATGGGCATTTCTGCTGTGTCCTAGAGTCAGCTTGACTAAACACAACAGCGATAACAAGTTCTGTTGTGCTGTTCACATTCTCAAAGACCGACCGCATCCATCATCACCATGCCTCGATGGGTTTTGTTAGTCTTCTTTCAGTAGTTCCATGTTCTACAGTTAGTACATTTAAGAACTATTTTTCAACTTAAAAATGCTTAACAAAACTTTACTTGTGAATTTTATTGAATGATGGCTTCAACTGGGCAATACCATTGATTGTTGAAAAATGTATTACACAAGAGCATGATTCACTAGCTGCCAAAAAATGTATTGATTTTCTTGGTGTGTTTATTCTTTCTTCTCTTTGCCTTCAGGTACATACCATTTTTTTTTCTGAGAAATATTAACACTTGGCTGTGTCATTAAGAAATTTACAGCATGGGACACCTGTATGAGCAATACATGCAATTTTCATCATTGATTCTTTTTTAAAAAATATTTTCTTTTATTTAAGGTGAAAGTTTACATCAAAGATTAAGCTCCCATGAAACAATTTCTCCATAAAATACTCAGTGATACTAGTTTTATTTTTCATTGTGTGCCACTATTCTTATTCATGCCACTATGATTGTACCATTTCCAGTACTCTGGTTTCCCTACCTCCTCACTATCTTCTCTTTACTTTAGAGTAATTTTTAGCCATTTGATCGCCTTTAGATACTTTTATAAAGAAATTTTTTACTCGCAGATAATAGTCTTTGTTTTTTGCCTAGTCTGTTCTTTAGCTAAATGGTGACTCAAGCAATACTTTTGGCTTTAAGTTTAAAGAATACCTCAGAGTGATAGCCCCAAAGTGCCATCTCAACTGGTCAACTGAGTCTAGATTTTTTTAAGAAATTAAATTCTACTTCACATGTTTCCCCCTCATCCTACCTAGATCCTTATATTGCAGCTCTAATCAAAACCAGGCAGCAGTTGCCAGGCACCATCTAGTTCTTCTGGTCTCTCGGTCAAAGAGGCCATGGTTCATTTATTGTAGATTATTTTATTCTTTGATCCTTTGGTTTCCTTCTTTTTCTTTTTTTCTGAATGAATATAGACACTAAGAGTTATATTTAAGATGGATGTTTACGAGCTTTTAAGACCTTAGATACTACTCTTCACACTGGGAGGTAGGATATATACTTTATGAACTATATTATGCTAATTGAAAATTAAAATTAAATGCTAACTAAAGTGGTCCTAAGTCTTTAAACCTAAAATACTAATCTTGCAGAAGTTTCCATAGCTGTGCTCCCTATGTGACTTATTTATACATTATATTACTTATATTATTATTATTTATATATTTATTTTGTATATGTATTTATATATTTATGGTCTCATTTCTATATTATAAATACTTTAAGGAAAAAGAAATCCATAAAACATGCAGTCCAATCATAACGTTTATTGAGCTCCTGTGCCGGGAGCACTCAAATCTTTCTGAATGAAATAGATGGCCTTTTAAATTAAATAATATGGCAAAGCAAATAGAAAGACTCTGGGGTGAGATTGTGTGGATTAAATGCACCTAAATCACTTATCAGCTGTGTGATCTTAGACAAATTACTTCTTTTTATCATTTGTAAACTGAAATGTTTTGTGAAGATGAAATTAGAAAATGCAATAAGCGTTAGCTAGAACTTCCATTTTTTATTATTAGTTTTTTGACCTTGGAAGATTACTCAACCTCTCAGAAATGTCATTTATACTTTTAATAAAATTTGACTAATAAGATTTCACAGTAATATTTTGGCTTTTCATGAGATAATGTATATAAAGAGGCATACAGTCATGTTTAGTCAATATTTGTTCTCTTCCCTTTATGTGCCATTCTGAGCTCTTAGAAACTCTATTGAATCAGAAATATTTGGGTGAAATATTAAAGAATATAACAGTAAAGTGCTGTAGTATGTTTTGTTACAATATAATAATGCCAAAAGGATATTAAGATGTATTATTGGCTCAAGACTTATTTCCTACTTAATTGACCTTTCTAAAAATATCATGAGTAAAAAAATTAGTCAATTGTTCTTGAAAGATATTAGTACCTCAAATAACGTGGCAGCTTGCCAAAATTCAGATGCCTCAAAGTCACAGTCAAACTTAACAGCTTGCTGTCTTACTTTGTTATAATCTTAATCAAGATAAAAATTAGTGGAGGACTGGTAATAGGATGGGAAAGGAGAAACAATACATGTGAGCTTAATGAATTGCTCAAGCTGTTTTCTGATGACTTTTCTGAAGAGTAAAACTAAAGTTCAATTCCTTGAATTGTGTTTTCTTCAGAATATATTGTTAATAGGCGAATTAATGTTTCTGATTATCCCTTCTTGCCTTTTGGAAGAAAATCCGTTTTCCTCTTCTTTCATTTCTTGGCAATATTTATATAAACCATTGAAACTGGGAATGGATAAAACCAGTAGAGAGTCTGATTCTCCTAATTGTAGAAAATGAGTTAAAGGCTATTCCCGCACATTCGCTGTGGCAGAGGTATAGTTTTACAAGCTTTTTCTTTCTAGTTATAGCAGTAAGGCAGCCTTTTGACTAGCACTGATGTGCCGTTATGATAGGATCTATGACTTTTTAATTATTCTCAGGCTATAATATCTTAATACTCAGGTGAAAAGTGATATAAGATGCCCCAAAATGGTTACTTTTTAGCACTGACTATACTTTCTAGGTCCAAGTACTAAATCTTTGACATTTTTCATATGACTTAATTAATTTTAATAATGAGATTTAATCCTCTAAGATTATTTCCCCCGATATCCTGTGCTCTCTCTCCATCTCTGCAATGTTCAAGCCCATTGCTACAGTCACTGTGTCAATCCATCATGCTGAGGGTCTCTCTCTCTTCAAAGACCTTCTACTTTCCCCAGCATAATTTTTTTGTCCAAGGAATGATCTTTCTTGACAACATGGCCCAAGTACGTGAGACAAAGTTTCTCCAGCCTTGCTTCTGAGGAGCACCCTCGCTGCTCTTCCTCAAAGACAAATTTGTTTGTTCTTTTGGCAGTCCACGAGAGAGTTAGTGTTCTTCACAAACACTATATAATTCAAAGGCATCAATTCTTCTGTCTTCCTTTTTCATTGTCTACCCTTCATACAAATGCTTGGGTAGATAGGGAGTATATAGAGAAATGTTCCCATTGGTCAAGAAACAGGTCTCCACACTAAAGTGACAAGCTCTCTTTTTGCCCAGACAATCAGCATTTCCCAGGACTCCCTGGGACTCAAGTCTTTCAGTGCCACATGGGTAAACTCTCAGATAAACTTGAACAAATTGGTCTCTACATTGTACATGTAAAGTTTGACCTCTGTAGTTCTACCCTTATGATTTGCTGAGACTACCAGAGTAGAATGGTGGTTCAGCGGTAGAGTTCTCCCCTTCTGTGAAGGAAATCCAAAGGAACGGTGGGGGCATAATAATTAAGCACTCAGCAGCTAACCAAGAGATCAGTGGTTCAGATTCATCAGCTGCTCTGCAGGAATAGGATCTGGTTCTTATTATCATAAAGATTTTGGCCTAGAAAATCGCATGAGGTGGTTCTACTTTGCTCTGTGGGGTTGTTATGAGTCAGAACGAACGGGGCAACATGCAGCAGAAAATGGATCAATGAGAGACACTGGTTCAAATACAAACACCACTCCTCGGAGGCCCGTTGCTGTGATACCAAACAGCTTTCGGCAGAGCTCCTGGACCAAGATGGACTAGGAAGGAAGTCATGGTGATTTATTTTCAAAACTCAGTCAAAGAAAACTCTCCACATCACAATGGTCTCATTTTGTTGGGCATTCAGTTGGCATGAGTTTGAGCCTCACTCAACCAACAACAATAATTATTTAACTGTTCCCTTTTCATTAAAAAAATGATAGGAGCTTTTCATATATAGGCAGTTAAAAAAGAAATACATCGTCTTTCTGGAGGACGTTGAATGAAAAGAACTGAGAACAATGGTAATTTTAGGTAAGGATCCATAAGCTGTGCTCACATTTGAAACTAAAGTGAATTTTCTTTGTCATCATGAAAGCCATTAAGGTAATGCAAACCCCAGTATCAATATTATGTTTTCCTAGTTATAGCTTGCAAGCAAGAGTGACATCCACTTCCTAAACAACATGCCTCCGGAAACTCTGAACTTTGATAAATGTCAGTAGTTGTAGAGGGGCTTCAGGCCTTTTGTTCATAGGGTCGCTATGTGTTGTGACCAGTTTGAAGGCAATCAACAAAAACAAGTTATAGCTTGTTATTTTCTGTCTTTGGGTTTTTGGAGAATTTTT